AGTTCACTGTCATAGAACCAGTTGCCGGAGACTGTCATAGAACCAGTCACCGGAGACTGTCATAGAACCAGTCACCGGAGACTGTCATAGAACCAGTCACCAGAGACTGTCATAGAACCAGTCGCCAGTCACTGTCATAGAACCAGCTGCCGGAGACTGTCATCGAACCAGTCACCGGAGACTGTCATAGAACTAGTCGCCAGAGACTGTCATAGAACCAGTCGCCAGTCACTGTCATAGAACCAGCTGCCGGAGACTGTCATAGAACCAGTCGCCGCAGACTGTCATAGAACAAGTCACCGGAGACTGTCATAGAACTAGTCGCCAGAGACTGTCATAGAACCAGTCGCCAGAGACTGTCATAGAACCAGTCGCCAGTCACTCTCAAAGAAACTGTTGCCGGAGACTGTCATAGAACCAGTTGCCGGAAACTGTCATAGAACCAGTTGCCGGAGACTGTCATAGAACCAGTCACCGGAGACTGTCATAAAACCAGTCGCCAGAGACTGTCATAGAACCAGTCACCAGAGACTGTCATAGAACCAGCGGCCAGTCACTGTCAGAACCGGTCGCCGGCGACTGTCATAAAATCAGTCACTGGAGACTGTCATAGAATCAGTCGCCAGTCACTGTCATAGAACCAGTCACCGGAGACTGTCATAGAACCAGTTGCCAGAGACTGTCATAGAACTAGTCGCCAGAGACTGTCATAGAACCAGTCGCCAGTCACTGTCATAGAACCAGTTGCCAGAGACTGTCATAGAACTAGTCGCCACAGACTGTCATAGAACCAGTCGCCAGAGACTGTTATAGAACAAGTCACCAGAGACTGTCATAGAACCAGTCGCCAGTCGCTGTCATAGAACCAGTCGCCACAGACTGTCATAGAACTAGGCACCGGAGACTGTCATAGAACCAGTCGCCAGAGACTGTCATAGAACCAGTCGCCACAGACTGTCATAGAACTAGGCACCGGAGACTGTCATAGAACCAGTCACCAGAGACTGTCATAGAACCAGTCGCCAGTCACTGTCATAGAACCAGTCGCCGCATACTGTCATAGAACAAGTCACCGGAGACTGTCATAGAACCAGTCACCAGAGACTGTCATAGAACCAGTCGCCGCAGACTGTCATAGAACCAGTCGCCAGAGACTGTCATAGAACAAGTCACCGGAGACTGTCATAGAACCAGTCGCCAGAGACTGTCATAGAACCAGTCGCCGCAGACTGTCATAGAACCAGTCACCAGAGACTGTCATAGAACCAGCCACCGGAGACTGTCATACAACCAGTCGCCGCAGACTGTCATAGAACCAGTCGCCAGAAACTGTCATAGAACAAGTCACCAGAGACTGTCATAGAACCAGTCACCGGAGACTGTCATAGAACCGGTCGCCAGTCACTGTCATAGAACCAGTCACTGTCATAGAACCAGTCGCCAGTCACTGTCATAGAACCAGTCGCCAGTCACTGTCATAGAACCAGTCGCCAGTCACTGTCATAGAACCAGTCGTCAGAGACTGTCATAGAACCAGTCGTCAGAGACTGTCATAGAACCAGTCGCCAGTCACTGTCATAGAACCAGTCGCCAGTCACTGTCGTAGAACCAGTCGCCAGTCACTGTCATAGGACCAGTCGCCAGTCACTGTCATAGAACCAGTCGCCAGTCACTGTCATAGAACCAGTCGCCAGTCACTGTCATAGAACCAGTCGCCAGAGACTGTCATAGAACAAGTCACCGGAGACTGTCATAGAACCAGTCGCCTGTCACTGTCATAGAACCAGTCGCCAGAGACTGTCATAGAACCAGTCGCCAGAGACTGTCATAGAACCAGTCACCAGAGACTGTCATAGAACCAGTCGCTAGTCACTGTCATAGGACCAGCTGCCGGAGACTGTCATAGAACCAGTCACCGGAGACTGTCATAGAACCAGTCGCCAGTCACTGTAATAGAACCAGTCGTCGCAGACTGTCATAGAACCAGTCGCCAGAGACTGTCATAGAACCAGTCGCCAGAGACTGTCATAGAACCAGTCGCCAGAGACTGTCATAGAACCAGTCACCAGAGACTGTCATAGAACCAGTCGCCAGTCACTGTCATAGGACCAGTCGCCAGTCACTGTCATAGAACCAGTCGCCAGTCACTGTCATAGAACCAGTCGCCAGTCACTGTCATAGAACCAGTCGCCAGAGACTGTCATAGAACAAGTCGCCAGTCACTGTCATAGAACCAGTTGCCGGAGACTGTCATAGAACCAGTTGCCGGAAACTGTCATAGAACCAGTTGCCGGAGACTGTCATAGAACCAGTCACCGGAGACTGTCATAAAACCAGTCGCCAGAGACTGTCATAGAACCAGTCGCCAGAGACTGTCATAGAACCAGTCGCCAGTCACTGTCATAGAACTAGAAGCAGTCAACACAGACTTGTTCTTTCTTTTGTTTCAAAAATACATGCTGGAAAGGCCTAGGGAAGAATATAATAAAATAAGATTTCTAGTTTATCATATACAATATTACAGGACAGATCCAAAATGCATATCACATAACTTTTTTTTCTAGTACTTGCTGCCAGAAGGTTGTCGAGCACATCCAGGTTTAACTAAAATGATTTATTTTAGCAAGGTTGTGTATATTTTGTGAATTATTATTCAGTCTCTACAAATTATAGGTTAAAATTTTTAAAAATCCTAGTCGATTAGATCAAGTATCATGAATGAGCAGAATTGCCACACATTTTTCGCACAAAATTAGTATACAAGGCACATACAATGATGTATTTGTATTGACTGTTATCTCAATATTATGTTCTTTCACTTTTTCGAATACTCGTGATTGTCACCAGCGTAGCATCAAGAGTCATCTATGGCTCAGATTGATGGCAGTACTCACGCATGTCTACTGACGTCGATCTAAGAGAAAATATCATGGGATATATAAAAGAAACTGAGTTCTCTTCAGATGGATTTAGCAAAGTTGTTTTCCCTTGAAAAAAATAATGCATTTATTACGCTAAAGTGTGTTCTCATCATTCATTTCAACAATAATTTGCTCAAATGGATATGCTTGTAAACCAAAAATCACTTAATCATTAAAATTAAAATTACTAAAAATTTTGACTGGAGACCTCTGTAATTTACGTACCGGTAACTGTATGCAGTACTAATTAACCAAATAAATGTACTTTTTAGAATTTCATCTTTTAAATATGTTTATTTCTTTCAAGGCTCAGGTAATGAATTTAAGAACTGACTGCTGTGAAGTAAGAGCTACAAAGAATGTGTTAGAAAAAGAACTTCATAACCAACTACTACAATTACATGCTGTGCAGCTTCAACTACATGCTAAATCAGGACAAAATGTAGACTCTGATGCCATCAAAGCAAAACTAGTAAGAAACACTTCATGTCAGATATATAGAAAGTGATTTCTGTAATGTACTTAATGTACTATTTATTAAATGTTACATGTACATCTCTAATATCATTAACCCTTTTCCGGTCAAGTCGGTGAAAAACCGCCGTCAATATGGGTATGCTAGAATTTACCACTCCAGCTAGCTAACTGGTTAAGTGAAAAACGGCCTGCTGTTTAGGTTGCTCAGACGGTCAAGCGTTTATAATACGTTGTACGGAACCTGATATTTTACACAAATTATGGAGGGAGAGAATTTGTTTTCGGTTCCGTCAAGTCAAATAAATTAACCAAGTAATAAAGAATGTAATTCTATACTCTTGTCTGCTCATTTCACTATTTTACCGTCACAACACGACGTTTGCGACGACGTAAAAAAAAACGCCTTGACCACATTGCAAACTGCAGCATTACAACCGTATTTGAACGACACAATTCACGATTATAACGGTAGTAACGTATTTTGACCAGCTTGGCAAATAGTTCCGGCACTTAGAATGAATAGCATGACGGATTCAAACGGCTGAGCTTGGAATGTCGGCAATCACCAACGTAAAATGACCGGGACAGCTGGTGGGAAATATTCAAGTCCACGTGATTTCACCATCTGAGCTAGCATATGCAATTCTATGTGTATGCAAATTGTAACCAATCCGTGTTAGAAAAAATAACATATTTATTTTCATAACAATAAATATTCAAATTGTGGGGAGATGCAGTCTTGTGGACATCTGGTCGTTCAGTATAAATATGGCAAGAAAGTGAGATAAAGCTCAGACTCGCTGTGTGCCTCCTTTCTGACACGTATGTTAATATGTCATTCTATACAGATAGGAAGTGTTTTATGAAGGCAAGAAGGAAATTGAAGAAAACGCGTCAATCGTGCAGTGGCACGGGGAGTGATAATTTTGATATTGACACGACAGATTTTTCACTAGCAAAGAGTGGGAAAAGGAAGAAATCCAAAGGAAACATTTGACGTCGGTGAGTTACCAGCCGAACGTACCACGGACACCGGTGATAATAGTTCACTCAGGAAAAGGCGTAAAAAGAAAAAGAACAAACGCAAGTCGGAGACTGTCTTCTCTGTCAATGAACATGCGATTACAGAAGTAAGCCGTTTGAAGGACTTCGGGGGGCAAACCAGGAGGCAAGCGTAAATCGAAGACGAACCGTAAAGTGGTTGAATCGCCAGTTGCCGACGAAGCAGATGCCCGAAGAAAAGGGAGTTAATCACGCTGAAATACAACGTGCCGTCGAAGATGTGAT